GGATCAAAGGGTTTGCATCTGGGAGCAGAGTTTGACATTTCTCCTGGAAAAGAAAACTGCTTGTGCAGTGTTTAGGAGTAGAGCCAGATATCCCAGCCTGTTGCAGCATTAACTTCTGAAGGTTCAGGACAAATCTCTGCAAGGTCAGGACCAGTCAAGGATACACTGCCCTCTAGATCTTAGTTTGACTGGTTCCTCAAACAGACAGTTATCTAGGTAACCCACAAAAGGGATGCCTAGGGAGCAGAGCAAGTCTAGAACAGGATCCAGCACCTTAAAAAATACCTGATCACATAGAATATTCCAGTCACACACATTCCTGAAACAGACCCTTAAGCAAAATGGGTGCTGTAGCAACTACCAGCAGAAATCAAGCGTCAACACAAAACAGAACATACGGTATTTAAAGCATATCATGGTGGTAAAAGTACGTTTCCAGAGCCATGCAGGACCCCTTAAATCATGTTTACTGAAGGGGTCCTGAGTGGCTCTGAAATACTGCTCTTTTACTGCTGTGATTGCTTTAATACACATTTGGATGTTATTTTGAAGATCCACGGTGTGCTGGCGATATATGCTTTGACTTTGTGAATACCAAGGTGCAAAAGAAAAGCTGAAATGGCAGGGCCACAAAGAGGAAGTGCAAGGGGCCCACAACAAAGCAAGGGAAACCCCAACATGCTGGAAATCTGGGGACATGCAAGTTATGTGTCCTTGATGGCTGCAGAGGCCAGAAAGTCTCCCAGATGAAAGTAGGCTATACAAGACTTGGTGGATTCCATCTGGAACTTATGAGATGAATAAAGACATATAGGGCCTGGGACTCCAAGCTATGGTGGATGTCTCATATGGGTTTGGGAACAGTGAATTGGATGGAGTAGAACTCATAGAACTATTCCTGCATTCCTGCAGAGACTAGGGCAACGACACCCTGCACAAGAAGACCTGCTAGAGCCACATTAAAATCTGCTAACCTGTGAGGTGACATGGGTGGGTAGGAAGTAGTAAATCATGGAAGGAATGGGTGCAAACCACTATCTGCACCAATGCTGTTTGCTCTAGTGTTCACAAGGCCTAACAGATGCCTCCCAACTTGTAAGTCCAGCATATGCAGAATCCTCCTCCCTCTCAAAGGACAGCTTCAAAGATGCTTTCCCTCAAAGAACATGTCACGCAAGCACTTCTTGAATGTGGGTTCTGCAGTCCAGCACTCCAATCAAAGATGGGTTCTGCAATCCAGCACTCCAGCCAAAGAGTCCTTCTCTTGTCCACAGACAGGAGGCCAATTCAGAGGTGAGACAGCAGTCCTTTTGTAAACTGTTGTTCAAAGCTGCAGACATGAGCTTCAAAATGCTCTATGATCAAGGTATCAACTTCCATAGTGATCAGACCTCTAATGGTCTTGGTCCAATCAGCTGGAGTTTGGCAGATTAATATCACAGCCAAAGTCTTAACAGTCTTGAAAGCCCTAAAAAGAGCAAAGGCTGGGAACAGCAGTGGCAGAAGATGTAGGCTGATCTTCTAGTTTTAAGATGGTGTGCACTGCATCAGTGATGGCCAAAAAACAGATGTCCCTCCATTTGCACAGGTCCCTTCACTGGAAAGTGGGCTTGTTGCCTGCCTTGGTAAGCTTGAGGATCGATTTCCCGCCCCCTTTGGCTCAGGCTCAAGAGTTCAGAAATGAGCACTGAGAAACTATTTTGGTCTCAGAAGACAAGGACTCAGAAGGAGTCTGCCACGCTCCTCTCTTCTGTAATCTTCTTTATATACATATGAAGGGCATTGCCAAAAAGGTGTTCACCCCAAAAAGGCCTAGGGTGCAGCTGTTTATTGCAAGGGAGCCTGACAAACCCTCATAGATGCAATGGCAATGCAATGGTCCTTAAAACACAGTCCACCAGCACTGTAAGGATCTTATTGAGAAAAGACACCGAAGGGTCCACAGTCCCACAAGGTACCCAAGGAAGGAGCTCTTGAAGACTGTCCAACTAGAATGGCATTTTTAATGTAAAATCCACCATACCCATGGAGCACTACTTACAGTACCAGATGAGGGGGATCTAGTGTTGCACAATCTGGAAGTTTGATGTCCTTGGCCTCTCGGAGCGGTGTCCAGTTGCAAAAAGGGCAGAATCTTAGATAACTTACCATGTTGAGGAGCAGCAGGCTGTGTTTGTACACTGGAATGGCATATCTAGTGCTATCTCACTAGATCTAGGTAAACCAGTAACGCCAATGGGTCTGTACACCACAGCTCACAGGCACGATGGGAAAAAATTGTAGACTGCACCCACAGAGAGTCCCACATACATGTTAAAGGCAGCGAACATCAGTAAGTTACACATACAGCCCGAAGGCAGTGAACAGCATTAATCCACACATTCAGCTGGGGGTGCACACATGCAGGGGTGGGTCACGTTTTGCTATATGTACAATCACCTGGAGGTGGATCATAACGCAGTGATTTAAAATTAACTGTGTGCTGAGAAAAATCCTAATTTTCTCTTGTGGCTATAACCTTTCAACATTTCCAAAAATAAAATACCAATTTTGTGGAATTAACTCAGAAATTGAGACCATAAAATGATGTAAAAAAAACACACAGAAAGAAAATAACTTGGCTTAGTTATTTATTAATATTATTCAGAAATGCGGTTCTGGCCAGTGTGATTAAATAGAAACGGCTAGTTCTATCAGTGATGGGGCATCCCCAAATCCCACACACTCTAGCAGGCTCACACACGCACTATGCTTTTCCCCACAAGTCAAAAAACCTGCACTCCTAATATCAGGAGAACAGTGTTCTTTTAACAAAAACCTCCATCCAAAACTATCCCTTCTTGGGTGGAGGGTGATGCAGGCATCCTGTATGTAAAGTTATACTGCATTTTGTAGCCCTACTGTGAAAATCAAGTGCCACAAAATTCTTCCAGCCATCTCTCCTAGCTGCAAAAGCAAATGCCTATGCTGGTGGTACATGATTGCCAATAAAGCCAGCTGGCAGGCAGCTGCAGTGTGTGAATGCAGCAATGCTGATCACCTGAAAACCTTGCTGACGATGAAATTTACATTGGAGCTGCAAAGGCAAGTATAAGTTCACATGTTACCTGTCTTCATTACACAACACCCAAATTTAAATAGTTTTGGTTAGAAGTATTATAATATATATATATATATATATATAATAAAAATAAATTGCAAAAGAAAAGAGGGGTAGTTAATTTGACGGATTCAAGAAATTGGAAGTAACTGTTTCCTAAACCATTTGTACTCCTCAAATCAGGAGCTGAGGCTTGGAGAACAGATGATCTCTAAGTGGTGTAAAAGATTCTCTCCTTTGCCTTTAACCATCAAACAGTTGAACATGAAACATTTTAAGGATAAGTAAATCTGTTTACAAGCAATATTTCCAAGGTTTGTGCATTTGCAATTAAATAAGTGCCCCCTCTCTCAAAAAAACAAAACAAAACAAAAAAAAAAAAAAAAAAAAAAAACACCCAGGAGTTGCAGTTTATTGAAATATTAACAAAAAGTTTGTCCAAATACACCTGAGTGTCCTATTCTTTACCTAGATTTTATGTGGGAGCAAACATGGAGGGGAGAGGGAGCATGATAAAATGAGAAGTTCCCCTGAAAACAGTCCTACATTGTGGAATGAAAAAAAAAAAAAAAAAAAAAAAACAAATATCAGTCTCTCATACTAATCCATCATACACACAAAGTCAAGTTTATATTCTATGGTTTATCATTTATACAAACAAAAGGAAAAAAAATAAAAATTTCCATTCCCTCCCCACCCCCCCCCCCCCCCCCAAAAAAAAAAAAAAAGTCCTAAACAACTGCATATATCAAAAAGGTATCTAAACAGATATCCACACAACAGAGGATTAAAATAAACATTATTGTAAAGGGAAGAGAGGATTTAGCATTTGACAAACTACTTTTTTGCCAATCCGACACTTCCAATGGCCTTAAATAAAACCTGGTTTACCAGCAAAACTGGGGTCATTCCTTGATTACATTGAAACTGAACACAGGGAAAAACATAAGACTGTCCCATTCAGCTTTCCATTTTATTGTTGCAACTTTTATCTATTTTGTTTTTTGTTTGTTTTTTTTGTTTTTTTGTTTTTTTGCAAAGTCAGTAGACAGGAATAAAGGACAGCCATTGAAACAGCCTGAAAATTAATTCTAGAATAATGCAGCAGTTTACCTAAAACAGAGGCCTGAATCAACCCCACAAAATGTCCTCTAACCCTTCACAAGCTTAAGTCCAGTGAAAACTAAGCAAACTGGATTAGAGCAAAAAGAGTTGTATTCAAATATCCTTCTTCAGATAATGAATGTCATACAAATGGGCCATCCACAGCAACACACTCTGTGAGGCATAAACTTCTTTTCATAGAGCTATTTAAATAGAACTATATTTGATGGATTTAACAAATGCTTTTGTTCTGTCTGGACCTGTGCTCCAGAATCAGAAGTGGACCTGATCAATTTAGCCAAGCGAAAAGAGGGAAAAAAAAAAAAAAAAAATACTGCCTCCTTAAATTTACAGGGAAAAAAAAAATCCAGTTATAATCTTCCAACTGCACTGTGGAGAACTCTCTGATGCCTTCTTTTAAGTCAGACAGGGAAGCAGTTTTTTTTTTATTCATGGAAATTAAAACGAAGAAAATAAATCTGGGAGCATGATGGAGGTTATGAAAATCCATGATACTTGCCAGCCAGCCTAAAAATTAACAAAAAACAAAGTGGCTTTTCTTTTTCCTGTGAACTCCCCTTTCTAGACCAAAGCACACCCAACACCTTACTTGCAGGTTGCTATTAATGTTTTTATATGTAGTAAAAATGTAAAGGAAAGGCGTTGGGACAAGGTCATCCTTCTGTGCGTGGGATGGAGGGAAAGGACAGTATGGGTAAACAGTCCTTTCTGGTCTCATGTTCACTAAATTTATGTTCTTTGTCTTTATTTTTGTCACTCCTGGAGGATGGATTCATTATTTCCACGTAGAGGACTGGGTGATGGAACGGGAAGGAATCATATCTAGGAGGTATTCCCGTTGGCGATCCACAGCTGTAGACTTATGCACAGCAAGGCCAGGGTTAACAAAGGCTAACGTTCCTCCTAAAATGTAACAAAAACAGACACTTAGTAAATCAATCACCATATTTACAATTACACCCCACACGATTTGGTTACACTTTTTAACTATGTCATACATTTTTCAAAAACATATCTTGCACTGCAGCATTAGGGAACAATAGAAGATTTGTGAAGGAAGAATTAAATAATGTCTAGGCGAGTAGAGATATTCAATAATGACCATCCATGCATACATAAGCTCTCCCATTAGACGGCATGAGGGTGCATACCTGCTCCTATAGAGAGCAGAGGAAGTGCGTTTTAAAAACACTCCCAATGGAAACAAATTGGCTGAGAATAATCCATCCTGACCAATAAACCTTCCCCCCTAAAAAAAAAGCTTGGGCAGGGAAATCTTCCCATTGGGGATGATCTACATATAATGGTTCCCTAATCCAGACACATATGGCCAAACATTCTCAGCCGTCTGTAAACACCTTATGCATGTTATTGTCTGTCAGACAAAGCGGTCATGTCTGTAGGCCAACTTAGAAAGCAGCTATCTCTCTTCTGATAATGTACCACATTTTGGAAAGCAAACCTAGTATCATCTGATTTTGCAAAGTAATTATTTCTTGCCTTTGGGTACAAATCCCCATGCAAGACTATGCACTCTCCATCTTCATGAGTTTCAGATGCTACGTTTTCTTCAAACAAGACAAACATACTGGTGCATTGCTTTTGAAAACATTTAACATTTTTATGCAAGCATGTAAGAAACATTAAGTTGCTAAATATTGAAAAGGCTACAATCTTAAGAGTGTGGCTGGCCACACTGACTGCCTGAATGCTGATCCAGCCTTCTGCTTGTGTATGTTTAGCACAAGGTTTTAGAATATGATGCAAGCAAGATCAAGCTCCATTCTAAATAAAATGCATAATAAATACATATTTTAGAAATAAGCTGCTAATGTATGCATTATCGTGAAAGCAGCTCTTCAAACTTATGTTACTTGGGTTCCCATAAGTTAAAACAAGATCATGAAATTCAATTTAATCCAAGCCATATTCTTAAAAGAACAGAATTACATTCCAGGGTATTATTTGTATGAAATTAATCTTTGTTTGCATTTTATGTTAGGAGGCTAAATTTGTATGACCACAAACTTGGACACAACGGTTTATAACCCCCTTAATGTTATTAAAGTTTACATCATATGCCTTGTGACATTGATATATTTAGAAAAGAAAAAAAATCAAAAAAGTTAAGGCAACTTTATTTGTGTTAACACTGAGGCAATGAATTTGTAGTTCCTTGATGAAACTTGCATATCATTATCAATCTACTAAAAAAGGATAATTGCAGGGTTATGTACAAGATGGCTTTTAAACATGACTTGCAAAGGCTCTCTAGTAGAGCTTAATCAAAAGAAGAAAAACTGCCATTATTCAATTATTCATACGCCCGCAGACTGCAAGTTACAAAATCTACTTATGCAGAGGTCACTGGAAGTTTTCAGATCATCAGTCCTGAAAATGTCATAGCATCCATACCTTTGATCATGTTTATCAAATCTTAAAATACTGTACAATTACCATAAAAGCAGTCCTTATGCATGTCCTGAAAACCTACCTGTCCCATACTGCAAACAGATCCTTGGGTAGGCCTGTTTTCAGTGATGATATTTGAACAAAAAAAAAATAACAAAATGCTCTTTTATTAAAAAAAAAAAAAAAAACCAAAACACAATGCTGCACGACATGTTTAGGCAACTTTGTTGCAGCAACAAAGTTGCTTGTTTGCTTACCCCTGTGCATCTCCACTGTTTGTTTCTTTGATTGTTGTGTCGCTATGACTCTCTGACTAGTAGTTTGCCCTATAGAAGACAATTATAGCCATTTGATGCAGTTATAAAAAAAATCCTCAGAACTGAGGAGTAAAGCTATAAATAAAAAAGTTAACTTATTTTGCAGAAATATGACAGAAGTCGACCTGCATGTATAATCTGTATCCCTTCACCACTATTCCTTTCCAGGAAAATGAATCTGTCCACAGGACAATGGGAGAAATTGTATAAAAACATTTTTATGCATTACAGACCTCATGCATAGTAATGTCTGAATAAAGAACCATTCTTGTCAACAGTGACCAAACTATGTACAAAAATGTTCTTTACTCAGACACAATTATACAGGAGACCAAGAGTTGTTAAGTATCTCCCAAACTGGTAGATGTATCAAGAAAAGGCATTAATCTAAGTATATGAGAGATTGAGAGAAAATTTTAGATACTATATATGTGCTTCACCAAGGAAAAGGAGACAAGCAGCATGAAGAGAAAAGAGCTTAGGTTGGCTAGTAGAAAAAGAAAATGCTACAATCATAACTTAAAGCATGAATCTGTCAAGTGAATTACCAAAATATGTTCGCTACACTTCTACATAAGCAGTAATAAGCATAAAGGGGCCATACAGGATTTCTCACCTGCATTCATCGGGGTCTTTTTCCAGTTTCCAGGTGCCAGATTGGTTTTGTTCAGAGAACGTTCTCCGGGTTTAACCGGTCTGTTGGCAAGAGTGGCTGCATTGGGCAGCTTGGTCGTAGTTGGGAACGTATGCAGGACACCTCGTGTGGTCCCCGACAATCCACGGGATATTGGTGTAGGGCTCTTTGAAAAGGTGTTAGAAGCAAACATACATCACTCAATGTTATGCAAACCAAGTATCAGTCATCTACTTACAAATGCTTTAAAGTGTTACTAAACCCAGGACCCTGTATTCAATATATCTGGTCTCTCACAGTACACACAACATGGAAATGCAATTATTTTAGTAAATATAAATTGCTAAATACCTTTTCTCATCAGCAGTTAGCAGTCTTGTGACTTCTATCAGTGTCCAGCAGAGCACTGGTTAAAGCTTATAGGAGTTTTCATTCTGCTCTAGGAGGACGCAGAACCCCTGACCTGTGCCTGGACAGTGCCGATTGGCCCTGTGCTGATCACATGCACTCTCCCAAGAAAAATAAAAAAAAACACCTTTCTAGCAATACACTCCAAACTGAGCATGTGCAGAGTGACTCCACACGATATGTCTCATCAGGAGATGAGAGGGACACTGGAAGAAGGGGAGGATCAGAGAAGTCAGGATCAAACAGCTTTTTTACACAATGCAGAGAATTAACCCCTTTGGTTTCACAGTATAACAAGTATGATTTACAGCATATCCAGACTGATGTTACTGTTGTGGGTTTAGGAACACTTTAAAGAGATGTATTTATAAATACTGTACACATTTCACAACATCTTTACCAGTGCAAGCTTTCTTACTTGTTTCAGAGTGTGATGCTGTACAGAATGCTCTGTTTTGATCTGTGCAGGGGAAGAGCTCTGCTGTAGTATCCTTTGCTCAATCTCTTGCTCCTGCTGCAGAGCTTTGACAAAGGCAGCTTTCAGTCGGTTGGTATGCTCAGCTTTCAGTGCCTTCTTTTGGTTAGAGGTCATGCACACGTCACACATGATGGTCCCATTCTTCTCCTGCCTCCAGCGGCTGGTGAAGTCAGTCTTGCATTGGGCACAACTATAAGGCTCATGAGAGGGTGGCTGCGAAACAGTCTTACCTGAATGGAGATGACAATAGAAAAACTTGAGTTGCACAGTAATAATAAAACAGAATATATGACTTGCTGTAAATTCCCTTTATTGGAGTACATTACAGGACACAGGGTGAGTATTTGGGTACATTGTGTTATGTTGCCTTAATGACAGACACTGACAAAAGAGGCGGAAGTACAGCACTATAGAACTCCTCCCACTGCTATGCCTCAGTTTTGTTAGCAAGCAGTAATAGGAGTCTATCATAAAAACAGAGGGGAGGGACCTGTGCCCTGTAATATTCTTCAAGAAAAAAGTAAATCTCCATAATGGGGGCACAGACATATTAAACCCTGACAAGTGTTCTATTTCCTCTCCACTTCAAAAAAAAAAATAAAAAAGTGAATCAGAAGGCGTATTCAGAAGACATTCACCAAAATGTGGTCCAACTGAGGATGGGGGGACCAGAGCAATCAAAGGCTAACAGGCTCATGAAAACCCAAAAGGTTAAGAGAGTTGTTGCTCAATAGAGCCTACAAAGCTACCTGAACTCCTCAGGACCGAAGCCAACATCAGCTGAGGCTTGGCCATCCACATGGTAAAATTTAACGAACCTGTGAACCGAAAACCAAGGTGGCAGCCTTACAAGTCTGAGAAACAGATGTCTAATGCTGAAAAAATCCATGAGGCACTGTAGCTGAGAGAGATACACTTCAAACAGCTCATACCACAACCAGACACATAAGGGAAATATCTTAGTATATCTAGAAACAAAACAGATTGTAGAAAAATTTCCTGGTTAAGGTAAAAGGGGGGAAAAAAACCTTGGTAAGAAAGGCCCTGTGTCTCAAGACAACCTTGGCCTTGTGTAGCACAGGAATCGCTTCTTTACAGGTTAAAGTGGTTTTAAAGGCAAAACTCTTATTTTTCTTACCTTAATCCATTCCCTGCATTAAGATAAAAAACGTTTTATTGTGGTCTGTTTTATTGCTGTGCATGGCTGCCTTTCTTCTCTCCTCTCATCCTTTTCACACAGGACTTGGGCAGCAGCAGGAGGATCTATTGGCTCACTATCTAAAACTACAAACATTTTGGCTGTAAATATTAAAGTATTCAACACCCCTTTTTAAAAAAAAGATTCCAGGACTGAAATTCTTTCCTAAAGTCATTAAAAATGAACTTTTTTTCTGGGAGTCTACCTAAACAAATTAAGGCAAATTGAACCTCTCCAACAGGTCGCTTTTGGCGACAAGTTCCCAAAAGCTCAATATTATAGTATTAGGATAGACAAATGTGTCTTTATATTGTGCAACCTATAAAGTCAAGCTCACCTTGCGACTCCAAAAGATTCTGCACTACTTCCTCAAGTCCCACCAGATATATAAACTCATTATTGGCTGCACTTGGTAGGAAATTGAGTTCTGGGGTAGGTGGTTTGGGTGGGGGAATCTCCAGCAATGTCTTTTCCAACTGCTTCCGTAAGGCAAGCTTGGCAGCTGCTTGTCGACTAGCAGGAGAGTCATTTGCATTGGAGGATGAGAGGCTAGTAATGCCGCTTGCTGCTCCAGCTGAACCTTTTAATGTAGTTGGAGATGCCTGAAAGGAAAGGTTCACAAAATTATACAGGGAAAATGCTCCAGAGGATGAAAAAAGCTAACCGTATTTGTAAAATCCGGGGTTCTTAACAGAGGGTACACTACTACCTAATAGGACTGGTGACTAAGATTTTAACATTCGGTTGGTATGGGAACATGTTGAGCAATCTCCTTGGGCTTTGCAACCACACAAAGGTTAAAGCTGAACTAAATCCTCATATCCTTTACAGTCAAGGAAGCTGCAATCTTAGCGTCAGTTACCGTGGTCCTGCACATGTGATCGGCTATGACACTAGCCATTTGATGGCTTGACAGTTCGGTTAGCAGCAAAAGCAACTGTGGCAGTTATTCACAGCATGCCTTGAATGTATCAGTTATAGAGTTATAAAAAACGTTATACAGTTCACAAACTGGGATATAGCTGAAAATTGATCAATCCTGAAGTACTGACAGCCAATCTAATTTCTTGACGCCAAAAAATGTCAGAACAGTACAGATAAATACAAAATTACCCCTTTTTGCAAAGTAGACAGTCCAACGTATTTCATAAGAGGCATGGCGAGTTTTTTTAAGTTGTAATTGTTTTGTCAATTTTTCAAAAAATGAAGAAATTAAATTGTCACAATTTTTTTTTTTTTTTTACATACTGTCACCAGTGCAGTACAGCGTCAGCATATAACTGGTGTGGCGGTGATCAGGGACACTGACTGGTAACAGTACGAAAAAAATATATACTTTTTTTTTTTTTTTTTTTTTTTACACAATTTGATTGCTTATAGAAAATTATTTCTTTGCTACAAGCAAGCATTTTACATGAATGAAATCGATTAATTCAGGTTTTTTTTTTGTTGTGATTAGCCACAGCTAATCACATGACACAGCTGAGCTGTGATTGGCCCAGCCTGTGCATGTGATCGCTGTGACCATTCACAGCTAGACACAGTTGCATACAATGGATGACATGAAAGGAAGCCATCCATTGTATACAACTGCTGTGATTGGTCACATGGTACTGGCAACAGGGCCGGTACACAGATCTGCAATTGGCCGTGTCCGAGCTACACAGCCAGCGACAGATCTCGCCACAGCGCAGCCCTGCAGGGATGCGCAAAGCGCAATCCAGGAAGGACGTCATATGACGCCCTCCCGGAGGGACGAAGTGTTCGCCCAGCCATCATTTGACCATAGGCCAGGCGGCAAGTGGTTAAACAATGTTGATGCACAAATACTTCTTTAACTGAAATATGCAAGTAGTCAAAAGTGAAAAGATAAGCTCACTTTAAAAATAAATAAATGCACCTTTGTTTGCAAATTTTTTACTGAGAAGCCTGCAGCACATTGCACCTGCAATCAGCGGGTACAATGTCAGGCTCCTGCAGACTGTCAGCTGTCTGCTCATACCTCCATACGGGCAGTTACTGAAGTCCAGAAGACTCAAAGAACTACTAAAGTGCTCACCGGCGCCCTCACAGTCCATTGAGAACTACAAGCCAACTGCTGTGGTGCAGATTGGACTTCTAGTTCATTCATTCACAGTGTGAATGAATGGACTGTGTGGATGGGGCCCTGCATAGCCATGCTGTTTTTGAATTGTGACAGCAGGTGCAGGAAGAGGATCCCTGGCTAACTGTCACAATGGAGGATCAGGTTGAGGTGCAGGCAGGTACTTTAGTAACATGTTACATCCTGCAACATGTTACTAAAAAGGTAAACTTATCCTTTAAGCATTCCAAAACTAAATGTACTGCACACTTCATTTACTTAGTACATAATTATGGGTAATTCTAAAAGCAAGATCCCCCCTTAAAAGGATTAGCAGCAAGAGAGTATTTCAATAACTGCAACAAATTCCAAAATGTCAACAATAAGACTTATTCATGATACAGAATATGCTTCAAGTGCAGCTTGGACATAAGATGATACAGATTTCATATTTAATACCAACCTGTGGTATGTTGACCAGTAAGCTTGTGTTTGCCACATTGGCCACCCGTATCAGACCCTGCTGGATGATCCTTTGACCTTGCATCTGCACACTAGGAACTGAAGCACGAGGAGCTAGCAGTAACGGAGGTGGGCCTGTGCTTGGATGTTGCCTGATGTTGTGCATCTGCTGAGGAGAGACAGAAATGGGCTGATGGTGGGAGGGAGGAACAAAAGAGGCAATGGGAGAGGTGAATGAGAATAAAGAAGATGAGTTGTGAAAAAGGAAAACTAGTATTTTGGAAAGACGAATATATTTATGTTACTACAGTTTCTAACCGTTCTAAGTACCCGTTCACACATATGCTAGCGTGGTCATGTTCTGTACATTAACCTCCAGTAAGGATTGCCCATGGGCAGTGCTCTGTAATTTTCAGAATAATGTCCTACTTTTAAAGGATGGTGCTATAATCCTACGGTCAAGCAAATTGCTAATTCCTTCAATAAACACAAGAATTTATTTTTGGATCTGGTACCTCTAACTGAAACTTTCCTGACCTGTACACCGAAGTATTTATAGCTTACAGTAAAGAACAAAAGCTATCCTGAGATACTTCATATTTTGCCTACTAATGTACAATAGGTTATCATTTCACAGCAGTTTAAAACACCTCACTTCAGATTGGCCGCTTTGTTTACAGGGTAAATGGACTCTTAGAAAAGGTACGGTACACATAGTTTAGGCCAGGTGGTCTAGTTAGGTTGGGTACCTTGTCTAAAAATTAAACAACCTTAGTAATGCAGGTGAACTGGGGAAGGCGGAGAGTGAAAAAGTGTTGAACAGCCATGAAGGTATTTTGTCCCATGGACACACAGCACTGTATTCTATATAAAAGGGGTAGTTTTACAGAACAGCTGTATTTATACTGAGATTAAATTAACACACAGGTGGACTCTGTTTACTAATTAGGCAACTTCTGAAGGCCATTGGTTCCACTAGATTTTAGTTAGGGGTATCAGAGTAAAGGGGGCTGAATACAAATGCACGCCACACTTTTCACATATTTGTAAAAGAAAATAAAAATTGAAATACATTTATCATTTACCTTCCACTTCACAATTATGTGCCACTTTGTGTTGGTCTATCACATAAAATCCCAGTAAAATACTATTACCTTTTTGGTTATAACATGACAAAATGTAGAAAATTTCAAGGGGTACGAATACTTTTTCAAGGCACTGTATTTCTCCCTGATGCAGTAGCTCTGAGCTCAGAGCTTGACAGCTCACTGGAGGTGTTCAGTAATGACTAGGTCTCTTTTAGCAACATCCTGGGAGTATTCAATTCAGGCTTTATGAGGAACGTACATGGTCTAATCCCTTGCAAAGGGCATTATTCAACTTTAGTCAGAGCTGCAGTTCGATTTTATTTTTTTTTTGTCATTAAATTGATAGAGCTCTAGGCTGAACGGATAAGACCTGCTGTTGTAAATTATCTTCTTCATAAAGCCATATTCTACGCAACTGATACTTTCATCATCTTTTTCCTAACGTAGTTAGAGGGCTTAAACAAAAAAAATGGAAACACTACATGATTTGCAGGTGTGAAAGGAATGACATTTCTCATTGAAAGCAGAAATGATGTAACATTCTTTTGCTTCTACTGTGTGATGATACACCTAGCTAACAGGTGGGAAGCCTCACTTTCGTCATTCAGAGCTCAATCTCAATCTTCACGAAATGGAAATTGAGTTCTGCAGTCACTTTTGCAGCAGTTTTCTTATTCCGAGCCACAATTCTGTGCAATGTCCTTTTGTCTCTTTCGGTCAGTTGACCATGTCAACCGCGCTTATGCTTATCAGACGTTTTCCTGGAAACTGTATACGCTGTCAAAACTTTTGATATTTTACCTCACAACATGGCAAAAAAATTCAGTCACAGATTCACCAGCTAAGCAGCCACCAACAATTTGTCCTCTTTGAAGCCCAATAAGCTCTGACATGGCTCTGTATTACTAGCAGGGCACACAGTGAATGACGAAAGTGAGGCTTCCTACCTGTTATCTAGATGTCTCATCACACAGCGGAAGCAAGAGTGTTACATCACTACTGCTTCCAATGCAACACATATCACTTTCAAACCATGCTGTGTTTCAGTTTTCTTGTCTAACCCCTGTATATTGCAGATTCAGTCTGTTCAACAGAAAAAACAGCAAAATTTCAAATATGCTCACCTGTGCACCTCTAACAAGAGGTGGCATAACTATCTGGTTTGATTGCTTGGCCGACGTTTGTTGTCCACCTCGTACCAGAGGAGGAGGTATGACGGTGCCAGAGATGCGCGATGTCACCTGCAAGAGAACACTAATTGAACTTCCTTTGCTCCATTGACAAGTACTAATTTCATAAAATAAACAGAAGTTAGGCAAAACAAAAGCATACTCAAATATAGGAATCAGTGAATAAGCAGATGTTTTACCTTCTGTGGGGCAGTCTCCTTCTGGATCTGACTCTGACGGAGCTTTTTAAGTAGCACCAGTTTTGCTTCTTCTAACCGTAATTCTTCTTTTAGCTGCTTTATAATACGTTCTCTTTCTTCAGGGCTGCTTTTCTGCAAAAGCTACAGAGAGACAGCAAAAGATCACACAAGTTAAAGATGCATATCAGAGAGACAGCCAAGACCTATTTAAATGGGCTAAATCAACAAATCTTATCCAGTTTTAATAGTTAAACAAAAAAAAAAAAAAAAAAAAAAAAACCCACAGCTTAAAATGCACCAAAAACAGTGAAAATATTTCCCTTTAAATCCTATAGAACTCTTCACATCTGTGCGCTGCGAGTGCAGTGTGTTTTTGAGAAGTCCCGCATGGTGCATCTTTGATGCCCTGTTTCAGAGGTGCAGCTCTCATTGAAATCAATGGGAAATGCAACAAATATGAACCAAAGTTGTGTTTTTGACCTGCGTTTTAAGTCACATGTCCATGCTGGAAGTCAGGCAAGCAGAAAATGCACCAAACACATATTAAGGCCTCAAGCACACTAGACTCCTTCCCTCCTGGCAGCAGCATTTTGGCAGAAAAAAAATCGTACACACATTTAGGTACATTTAGTTCAAGAGTTTGGGTGTTAATTTCATTGAACAAATAAATAGTTTATTTTGGCCACTGAATGAATTCACACTTGAGAGCTAAACACGTCTAGCGTTTACTCACATTTAAACAAGTGAAGCCGTTTTTCTGCCAAACACGCTGCTGCTGTTCCTGAATGCGCCAGCAGTGTTTTTTCTGCCTCTAAACTCCTTTAGAATCCTATGAGCAGCTGAAAAAACACCCAATGTGCATAAAGCATTTTTTGAAAGCACATAGCCATATAATCTAAGGCGTAGAGAAACCAGGTGCATCAGGAAGAAAAAAAACCTGCAATGTGAAAATGGAGGTTTGCAAAATAGAAAGATGCATCCTACTCACCAAAAAGGTTTCAGAATGTGGCTCCTTTGTTTGCCTAGATAAACCATTCATCCGTGGACTGGAAGGTTCATTATCAGATAACACAATAACATCAGGGGAAGGAACTCTCTTTTTCCCTCTTCATGTCACTCTTCATGTCACTGAATCAAGAAAACACATTCAATTTAAATCCAAGCATTTAATTCACCAACGCATCAAAAACCTGTTATCTGCCCTGTACAATTTACTGGAGAAGGGTTGGTAAAAATAATACAGGTACTATAAGAAAACTTGTAAATTCAATTGTGGAAAACAAAAATGGGGGCCCTTGAAATTGTTACACTTAGGATACACCCTTAGAAAAAAGAAAAAAAAAGTCATGTGCTTGTTTGCATACACTGACCCACGAAATCAGCACACTACATTTCAGATCTTGTACAACACAATGAAACTGACAAAATGTAGTCCAAGGTTATAAACAAGCAGGATTATTGAAGATCTGCATTTACCAAAATCCACACAAAATACTTGCAAATCTAGATGACTTCTAGAGCCTAGAAAAAAAAAAAATATATATATATATTTTTTTCCCCCCACAATAATTAGCATATACTATGGGGTTTAATTTACCAGTGGAGTAGAGAATGTGAACTTTGGAAGTGTATGTTCCCTGCACTTCGTAAATAAAGCTGTGCTCACTATAATAAGCCAATCATGTGCAAGCATTTATTTCTCTTGCAGATGGGTTTGAAAGTGAACACTGCTTTACCATATTCGCTATAGCTGCGTGACCTCTTATTAAAATGTACTGGATATTTTCAATGACAGAAAAAAAAAAGAAAAAAAAGAAAGCTAAAACTTAACTGGCAATATACCAGAATACACCTGCCCAATAACTTAAGGATTAGCACTTTTACCCATAGGTAAACTGGCAAAAGGGAAATATTTATCAAAAACCACTAGGTGGCAGCAGGACCATGCAAAGGATGAATGAAAATCAAAACAAAAGGAAAAACAACGTGCATCAAACTTGTGCTTGTGTGTTAGTCAAGCCTTTATAGTCATCTGTGTACCTATTGGGAATATTGCCTCTCCGTTCTGGTGTGGACACCTGGGCAGGAATTACAGAGGCTTCAAACTGAAAAAAGGTTTTTGTGAAGTCTGATTTTTTGATAACCACGCTGGAGGTTGAAAATTTTTATCAGGGATTTTACTGCTCCCTTACTTCTGTAGCAATGACCACACAAATCACGATGGGGCATTTCCCCACCAGAAAGACAGCAGTGGAACAAATGTCACTTTTAAAGACACCTAACAATGAAATGCATACAACCTTTAACCACTTGAGCTCCTGAGGATTTACCCCCCTTAATGACCAGGCCTCTTTTTGCTACTCGGCGCTGCACTAATTCAACTGATAATTGCGCCGTCATGCAATGCTGTACCCAAACTAAATTTACGTCCTTTTTTTCACACAAATAGAGCTTTCTTTTGGTGGTATTTGATCACCTGTGTGCTTTTTTATTTTTCACGCTATAAACAAACAAAAGACCAAAAATTTTGAAAAAAAAAAACCCAATATTTTTTAATTTCAGCTATAAAAAATATATAGTAAACTCAAATTTGGTTATAAATTCAGGCCAAAATGTATTCTGCTACATGTTTTTGGTAAAAAAAAAAATCCCAATAAGTGTATATTGATTGCTTTGTGTGAAAGTTTATAGCGTCTACAAACTATGGTATAGATCAGCAATGGGCAAACTACGGCC